GATCGTTCCTGCCTGATCAACATCTCGATTCGCGTTTGCTCCTCAGACAGCACCAGAGACGCATCTTCGGCAACGAGTGGAACGATATTAGCCGAACCGTCTTTACGCTTCTCTGGAACTGCCGAAGCCTGAGTTTCTGTATGCAAATTGGATTTGACGGCAGTTTTAATGTCATTGTTATTATTGTTATTACAGACTCCCTTAATTTTACTCTGCTTTGTATGACGAGTATCTTCACAGTGATTAACAAGTGTTTTTTCATTATTTATGCTGAGCAGATTCATGTTCAAATTGATTCCGGACGAAGAACTCTCATGACCAATCATAGCAAGGGTCGTACTCTTACATCTTATTTCGGTCGGAGTCTGACTGTGTGATTCTGGCTCTATGCCGGTAGTTCGAAACACATCTGGATTATCATACTTTAGTTCGTCTTCGGATTCATCCCTATCTGCCACCTTCTCCACCAATCTAAAATCACAATTATCTCGCTCATCAGAACAACCAAACCTCCTGTCATGACCTCCGACATTCGCTTCTACTTCCATCAATGCGTCCGATTGATCATGTACAATTGCTATAACTTTCTTCCCCTTGCAGTTTTCATCGCTGTACGAACTCAGTCCCGCCAACGCGGAATTAAGTTTTTGTCCTCCCACGGCAATGTCTTTGCGTGCTTTCTTTCTGGGTGATTCTATATCTTCCGTAATCATTTCTCTTTCACTGTTGTCATTACCGGATTTGAAAGCCTCTGTCTTCTGCAAGAACGATTCTTTCCCTGCAAAAAACACAAATCATTAAACTTTTCAAAACACAAAATCTGGTAGGCCATGATTTAACACGGAGAACATTTTACATTATGTATCGTTGGGAACCAGACTGGGAAAAAACCCTAATATTGTGGCCAAGCGGTCAGCATTCCGGCTTTGTATTCGGGAGGTCCCAGCTTCAAATCTCGGCCCAGAGACCAGCTGACTTGGCCGAGACTTTTGTGCTTTTTCCCAGTCCCTCCAGGAAAATACCGTTATAGTACCTTAAATTATGCTGTGACCACTTCCTTCCACATCCTTTTCAATTCATTACTCACAATCATTCTATCATTCAACGCTATACAGTCTGAGCTACCAAAAAAGTGCTGTTAAATACACTATAAATAAATACACTACAAAAAGAAAATTTGTAAACACAGAATTACTGTCATATATTAGATTAGTGTAAACAAATATATCCAATAGAATCTTAAAATTTACCTCTAAATGCTGAAACTGATGGATTAATTTCTGAAGTCCCCAACTCAGCCTTCAAGTTTTTCATTCGTTCAACTTGCAGCTTCAACTGTTGTTTAAATGATGTGCTATAAAGAAACACAGGATATAGAAACACTAATTGTAGGTTAAAAACTACACTTAAAACTAGACCACCACACACACTACTTTGGAAAGACGTGTAATGATTATGTTACCAGATCTTCATTTCTAAAAACATAGCTTATTCTAATTACGATAAAGATGGCTGATTCGGAGATCCTTTCTCATTAATAATCAGGACACTTGCCCTAATTATAAAGGCAGCAAGGACCTCTGAAATGCTGGTAAACTTCTACCAGAATACATAGCACTACAACACAGACGAGAGCCAACTTCAGACTAAAGCGGCCCATCCACGTACGAGTCTGACTTGCGAGTCTAGCTCGGCGAGCTTGACTCGTGAGCCAGGCTCGGATATATTTCACCACACACGTGTAGCAGACTTGGCTCGTGACACCCCACCCACAAAAGAGTTTGGCTCGATGGAACCCGAGCCGAGCCAGACTCGCAAGCCAGACTCGTACGTGGTTGGGACGCTTAACTGATGAGAAAACCTCAAATCTTACATGATTGTGACATTTCTCAGAACATGCGTAATTTCTACTTGGTAACGAAATCTTGTTAATTTCTGTCCCATTTTTCTTTTCCATGCAAACAAAGAGTGAATAAGAAAAAAATATATTATTACCCTACAGGTATAACTCTGTTTCTTACACAAACAGAATGAATGCTACAAGCGCTAAACAACGTTAATGGGAAGAGAGAGAGAATACACTCCGTGACAAAACAACGACAGAAACAATTTACTGTATGTATCAACAAAAATGCAATTTTGTCGAGTGTTTAGGGAAGAAATTCTAAATGTTTTAATAAGGTACTGAAACAAAATTTATACCGCTGAAAATGGGCATCGACAAGAAGCTAATAATTGAGACTGTTCCAAAGAAGTTCACCATAATATCCTTTCCTTCATTCACATTTTTTAGTCATACCTAAAAAATGACTGCGTTTCACTGGCTTCGGTAAGCGACTCATACACTGTATTTAAATTCACTGGAACTGCTTTCACTACAACAGGGACAAGTACTCGGCCATCTGCAAGACAGAACAATTAACAGATTTGAAAATTATGTGGAAAATATTACCACTATAAAAATCACAAAAGGCACATTACATACACTTTTTGAGTCAAACAGTTAACATTAAAACTAATTCTTTTAATAGAAAAAAAAAACACATATGAGAGTGACCATTTATCATAAACAGAACACAAACTTCCCACTATTGACAATGCTTACATGTCAGTACTTTTGTCATAGACTGCACAGATGACAATATGGTGATGTGATAAGGAACAAATGTTGTTCCAACATGAACATACTACTCTCACAATACCAACAACAACAAAAAAAAACATAATTTCATCAGCGTTTATATCGGCAGAAAATTTTGGAGCAAGACCAATCTGTCAAGTGTTGCGGTATTCACTGGTATAGCAACTGAACATTGTGGTCGACTGGTTAGCGATCCTATTTCATAACATAGAAATCGCAAGTTCAAATCTCAGCCCAGAGACCAGCTATCCCGACTGAGATGTTTCATTATTTTCTTCAGTCCCTCAAGTCAATCCTAGGATAATACCTTAATTAGGCCACAACCAATTCCTTCCATAGCCTTTCTAATACACTATGCACTAATCATCATATCAGTTGACAGTATATAATCTGAGCTTATTAACATTATCTTCAAATAAACCATAAAAAAATGGCTTATATACCAGATAATCTTTTGGGTGGAGTCCGGGGTACACTCTTAATAGGCTTAAAATGATGCATTTCCTGATTAATGCTGTCATGGCTGCCTGTACTCATACTGCTTGCACAACGGGCATTCTCCATCTCTGTAACTGTGTCGTAAAATAAGTTTTATTACATACACATACAAACACAAATTTCACCAAAACATTTAACTCTATAAACCACTGTACACAAAATACGTTGTTCGTCTCATACTGCACACTTTTATGGGGTGCCAGTTGCAAATGAACACATTCACTGACAAAGAGACCAAATAAGTATCAACCCCAATATTAAAATTATTTTTCTTCGAACCAAATGAGGCTAAAATGACACAAGGTTGTAGAAGACTCTATAATACGGAACTTCATAATTTATACTTGTCACCAAATATTAGTAATGTGATAAAATCAAGGAGGATAAAAGGGGTGGGACATATACCACCCACAGGGAGATAAAACTGTATATAAGATTTCAGTGAAGTGAAGAGGCCAATTGGGAGACCTAGGCATAGATGACAAAGCAATATTAAACCTTACTTTCAAGAAATAGTGTGTGTCAGTATGGACTGCATTTATTTATTTATTTATTTCAGGATCCCAGTAATGCTTTTGGCTTCCATAAAAGATGGAGAGTTTTACTAGCTGAATGACTATTACCTTAACACATACGACTCCGTTACATGGAATTAGTTATGAATTCTGTTTTAAACAGAAGTGTAAAAAAATTATTAAATGAAAAAAACAGTAATTAGTCAATTTTTAGAATTTACATATCACACTTTCCATTTTTATAGCCCACATGACATTCCATACCTGGTACAGTTTTAAGTCTACTGCTACCAAACTTAGCGCTGAAGCTACTGTCAGAGGTTGTTAGGAATTTGCCGCTTGAAACTGCTGACTTCTGCTGTGAAATTACATACGAATCCATAGGTCCCTTTATTTCTGTCCCTACGCCCCCACGGGCCTGACTTTTGTTTTCCTTGTTATCCATTCGAACATGCGGTCCACTAGTCTCTTCTCTGACACTCAAATCAGTTTGACTTGTGCTCTGAAATAAAAGTTCACAAATAATGAGTTCTGCAGTAAAGCTCTAACAAACACAGAAGTCAGGATATTATATTTTCATGTCCCACCTCTGGTGAAAGAAATTAGATACAATTTTGAATGAGTCATTTTCATGGAAAGAAAAATCTTATTTAATATCTTCTTTATCACTGCAGAAATCATTAAACCTAAAATTATCATAACATTTCTTTCACGGTTCATATTTTCTTCCAGTCTGGACATTCAATTAATTTACTCCTCATATTCAAACAAAATGTATCTTTGTTAGTGAGCTGTAACATCCCTCAACTTCCTACTGAACTAAAATTAGTCTTTTCTTCTAGATGCCTCATCCCCAGTTTCTGTACAGATTCCAAAACATATAATAAAATGCAATCAAGCACCGTGGAGACGGCTGTCTTCTGGGGCGTTGTGTCGAGTGTGACAAATACTGACCAATGTTTCGAAAGTGCTAACTACCTCCATCATCAGTTCTACAAGACTACACAGCGCAACATCCCAGAAGACAGTCGCTGCCGTAATTGCCACCAAGAGAACGTAAAATTACACCTTTCGCATCTTCTGTGAGTGTTATGTAAGGAAAATCAATAGAATTTTAAGATTCCAACACTTCATCTTTCACGATTATTCAGTTCGGATGAACAAAACATTGACATTCTACAGAAAAATTTATCTAACACAATACTGATCAAATAAGTGATACATATATCCCATCTATTTTCAAGATATTTACAGGAAAGTACAGGAAATTTTAAGACAATTAAAGCTATGTTTATTGAAAAGAAAAAGACTTACAGCTCCCTACTAACTTTAAGAAATATCTTAAGTTCTGATCACAAAATAACAATACGTACATCATACAATAAATGAGACTGTAAAAATCTTTAAGGAAGAGAACGTGGCTCTAAATGCTGTGTTCTGCTTTCATATAAACAAACTTCTCCAACAAAAATAAATGAATATCAAATTAAAACAAACCTGTAATGACTCTTCCTGCAGCTCTTTTGCGATCCGTTCATCAGCTGCCGTCTGGTCCAATAGCTGCTGTCTTGCTGCACGGTATTGCCTTTCCTCTTCCTCCTTCAGTTCACAAGAAATCAATCATTAATACAGTAAGGTCAATTATACAATATAAGAACAATGACAATTAGAGTAATTAACAATATTTCGAAGTTAATGGTGACTGCAGAACGTACTGTTGTTGTTGTTGTAGTTATTTCTTGGATCTAAAATCTAGTTGTGGGTTTTAACCACCTCCTTCTTTTTTTTACCGGAGGTTTCTTGATCTTGAAGCGTGCATTTGTGAGTAGTGAGTGACCAGCCCACTGACTGCACAATTTCTACTCAATCCTGATTTGACTGCCAGAGTCATCTAGCAGTTAAACAGGAGACTTGGGATTAGAAATGGCTGCTGAACTTTGCTTACGAAACATCTCGTATCATACTCGTGAGGTTCTTTTATATGTTGTAAATCTACAACACGAGGCCGCTGGCTTTACTTCCCCTCCGAAGGAAGTTGTGCTAGGGATTTTTATCACCCTTAAAAATCCATCGATCTCGGCCAGGATTGAACCCGCGAACCTTGGGTCCAGTGGCGAGCACGCTAACCACTAGTCCACCGAGGGCAACGCAGAACATACTGACAACAGTAAAATCATCGGATTGCCACAAGGAGAAATAACTGAAACAACATTACAGGAGAAGGAACAGCAAAAAACCCAGAAAACAAATAGGCCATTCACTTCCGCTTAAGTCAACTCAACGATTATTCAGTTATTCAGAATAAAATCTTCTGAAAAGCTAGCATTACATAAATTCACCACAATAAAAAAACCAAAAAAGTAACTTGTCAATGTTGGTATTCTGGATTGTGACACTGCGTGAACTTGTAGGTAGATACCAATCCTTCAGAGAAACATACTGCCTCCATCTTACGTAGAACAGATTCTGCCGTAACTGTGATGACACACATACTTCCAGATATAATGTGCCTACTGTGGCATGTAAAAGCTGAACAACAACGAATGCAGATCTATTAACATTCTAACAATGATGTGATGATTTATGTCATTGATGATGATGATGCAGCTGTCCAAAAGAAGAGTATGCCAGTGCATAATCAGTATTAACACAAAAATACTTTTCACTAATGCAATGTTTAACATCTGTACATTAAAAATATGGCAATATTTTAAAAATCAATTTTTATACAACTGACATTTCCAGTCCAGAAAAAGTATTTGTTCAATTTAAATTTGTTTAAGGTGTGTGATGGGATATTAAGCTTGACAGGGTGGTTCTGATGGCAGAATGATTTGGGCAGGAACCACAGGGGTGAACAAGTTGGAGATACTAGTTACCTGGATCTAGGTCAACCTTCAGACGCATCACGTGCCCATATTCATCAGTCTCTACTCAAAGACCATAAAGATTCTGAAGATTAAGCTTCATGCCTTGGACAAGGATTTGTGCCCTGACAAGCATGGATGTTCAAAAATGTTGCAAAAATTACAGTAACTTACTTGCTTGAAGACTAGCAGTTTCCATATTTTCCGCTTATGATAGCAGTTCTATACACTGTTTTCTTACAACAGCCAAGCGTACTTACAAACACAAGTTCTTGCATTAATAAAGGATCATCAAACTTCAAATAATCATTAATTCAAAAAATTACATGTAAGTTTACTTTGCTTCCTTTACTATACAAGCCCTTTGCTAGATGGTTGTCTTGTAGGATATTGCACCATATAATCTAACAGAAACTGACTCTAATGATGGTGGCAGTGAACACCTCTGAAATGTTGACCAATTTCTACTAGACTACAAGGTGTAAAATCCTACAAGACGGCCATCTTCACACATGTCACCACGAGAACCTCAAAATCTCACCCACTTCTTTTGCTAACCTGTTCATTTACATGAACAGCTTCACTATAATTTTGAAATTCTTTAAATAATAATCACCTTACCTGAATTGTACGTATAAGATCCTCGGTTGCCCGACGTTCCACTTCCAATTTCTTCTGGGTTTCTTCTTCCAACTTGCGAATATGTAATTCAAATTCTCTACGAATCTGCCCTGGCGAACTGATACGTGTTGATCCCCGACCAAGAACATCTACAAATATCACAAAAGCAATAATCTCTCACTGTAAGCTGTGGCTAAAACAAAGTGGCAAACGTATAAAACATTCGTTTGCACATTAAACTCCTAATATATAAAAAGCATACAGATATACTTCTTATCCTGAGCAGTGAGGTTATGCACTCCATGTACACCCAACAACCTATTACAAGTTAATATTATTAAACGTGATACATACTTTCTTCGATCCCATCATCTGCACCACTTAATTTTGCTTGAACTTGTTCCGGAAAACGCTTTTGTATGATGGCCCACAACTCATTATTTACCAAGTTTCGATCTTTGGTAGCTGCCCTTAACCAACTACCTATTCGTTTTCTACACATTGGACAAGTCAAACTCGTTTCTTTCATAGTACGTTCGAAACACTGTAGACACAGGCCATGATGACAGGGCATTATTACTGGTTCAATGAAAATTCCTCTGCACACAGGGCACATTACGTCTACTAGTGTTAGATTCTTATACATATTTGGTATTACTTCGTTCAAACACGTCGCCATTTTCAGCGCGAAACTGGTTGCGCCAAAAACCCGAAACAAGTACTTCTGACAGCAACATTAACGGAAAACGGAAATACAAAAGGTGATGAAACAAACGACAGCCTCATAGTATTCTCACAGATCAGGTGGCTCACCGAGAAGGCCCGGGTTCGCTCCCAGGTCAGTCCATGTAGGATTTGTGGTGGATAATGCTAAACTGAAACAAGGTTTCCTCCTGTCAATATCACTCCACAACTGCTCCGTAGTCAATCATCTGGGGATTGACGAAAGGCCCGATAGAGGTCCAGTTGACGTAGACATGTCTAACCCCACAATAAAACAGAACGTGCGACGCTTTGTAAATTTTCAAAAAAAATATATAACGCATTGTCAGGTTGTCCCTTAGTCCGTAGATTTTATTGGCATGATACTGACAAGCACAGAAACGGCAGTTCTTTGGATGCGGCTTTTACAAATTAAAAATATAATTAATAAGTATAAAATATAAATAATTAAATTTCATTAAGAAGTAAACTGAAAAGCCTATAAATATCCCGGATAATAGTACCCCGTGTTGTGGTTATTAAAGGTTACTATTTTCCATCAAATTTACAGCAACTCGGCTACTATCGCTCCTCTTTGTGCTGATAACGGGGCTCGTTATTTTACTTTGCCCCACTATTCTTTTCTCCCTTCCTCTACTGCGCCGGCCAAGGGCCACCATAAAATAACGGACCTGTAGAGTTAAATTTCGTGAGTGAAGGTGTTACACTTAACTGAAAAATGCTGATATCGTGAAGCAGTATGAGTTAGAGGCTTTGAAGCTGCACGAAGATACACCACCAAATCCTTCGTGATTGCTGGAACATTTTACAGACGTAATGCGATCAAGCTGTATGTCTGTACAATCACCTTTCATACACGTTGTTATGTTATGTTATGTTACCTTATGCCCCTCCCACATAAATGTTGCCGCACTGTATTCAACGTGACTAGAATATACCACGTGACTAGTTTCACCAATTACGTTACAGCTGACGTCCAAAGTCACGTTGCTGGCGGTGCGGAAGCTCAAGTGTGCAGTGTCAATGGTGTCAATGTAGCAGTTGCTGGCGGAATTGCGATGTGGAAGATTTTAAGCCGTGCATGCTATGCATTTTGTTTCGCAGTTTCCCAAAGCTATTTACAGTGATCGCTTTCAAGATGAACAGTGTGTCACGAACAGTTAATTATCGGTGTCCTGGCTAAATTAATGATGAGTGAAGGAAAAGCAAAGCATACCGTACATTGGTTTAGAAAGGGGCTTCGTTTACATGACAATCCAAGTTTACGTGAAGGATTAAAATGCGCTACAACATTCCGTTGCGTATTCATTCTGGATCCGTGGTTTGCTGGATCCTCAAATGTAGGAATTAACAAATGGAGGTAAGTACATATGCGCTTTTGTTTTCTGTTACGCTGACGTCACTTATTAGCATATGGAAACAGAGGTGTTTAGACGTCTTTGGGACTGAAATCAGATTAATCCGTTGTTCCCAGAACAGCTGAGGTAATAATTGTCTCTCAGGAAGTGTTGGATGTTTTAAACGCTACTTTCACGGTGACAAACATTTACGCTGTCATTCTTATTCCCTTACCAGTGTATGTAAAGGACGACAGTTTATACTGATAACCAATACTCTGTACAGTCTCACTAACTTCTTGAATTTTTTTTGTTTGGTCGCATGTGGCACAACGTCCATACCAAGTTTCTTGAAAAGTCTTATAGCCACTATCTTGTTATTAAATATGTACAGACTGTTGTTAGAGGTCAAGAGGGGTTGCGTAATGCAGTGGCGAAGTGGATGAGCGATAGCCCATGATTTCGTGTGCCTCACATCTGTACTTTTATGTATAGAAATTTCCTATTCTTTCATTGTTATTGGCTCCGCTGCTACTTGTGTAAGGTTGCTGATACGCGTGCATAAATTATCATGACTAATTGGCTTCATCATCCCATTCAAGAGTTTCAGCACCCGTGATATTTCAAAGTGTAAGACGTTAGATATCATGAGTTTCGAGTTGTGCGTGACTTGTGGCGTAACGTACGTCAGAAATTTAAAAAAAAACTTTCCGTCCAGAAAATAAATATTGTTGAATGTCGTGTGGATTGAATGACGTAGCAACGTACCTTCCCCCCCCCCCAAAAAAAACACGATTTTAAAGCTGTGGGCCTACAACTGCACAAGTTTTAATTGAAATGTCACTCAGAACATTAATTCGGCCACGCACGGACACAGTCGGACATAACCTGAAGGAGAGTATCATCTGCAGGGGAGAGTAATCATTGCACCGAAGCTGATGTAAATCCTCCCCCCACCCACGGTATTTAACGAATTAAAATTGCGGGTATTTTTACATGACTGTCCAGACTGACGTCAAAGCTGAACGTCGTCACGTGGGTAGACACCCGCGTCTATGACGCTGCTCGACGCCACGGATGCTTGACAACGTGATTAACATAATATGCAGCAGCAACGTGATAAAATGGTACTGCCTCTGTAAAACTAGGTCATTAAGTCTTTCTCATTTTGATTATATTTAACCCTTTGAAATCGATGCTGGCCTATATAATATTGAAGAATTCAGCCCATACCACAAAGAAAACAGTTCACCATAACAAAAATGAGCTGATTGTTGCTGTATAAAGTAGTAATCACTGTTCATTCAAGGAATCACACAAAAACCCACAGATACAAACAGCAGAGATACTTATTGTTGAATCAGGTGGAAGAATCTTGAATATTTGATTTGTTTGTTGTGTATGAAATAAATTAATTTGTTTCTGAGTATACATAGAGATCCCAACAGATCAGTACAACACATCAAGAAAAGTATTTGATATCAACACAAATACTACATATTAACACATGGTTTTGAACCTGAAGGTTCCCACTCCATGAGATTTTTGTTTTTTCAGATTTCTACTACAGTGTCTGGAAGATCTGGACCAGAGTTTACGCAGACTCAACTCTCGTTTATTTGTAATTCGTGGACAACCTGCAGATGCGCTTCCAAAATTATTCAAGGTAATACTGACATGAAAAATTTCTGAAAGAAAGGGGGAAAAATAGTCAAATTTTAAAGATAGTCAATCAGAGAGTTATTTTAGACATTTCACAGACAGTATTATAATATTTTACTCATTTCTTAGGAATGGGACACTACAGACCTGACATTCGAAGAGGATCCGGAGCCTTTTGGACGGGTCCGCGACCAGAATATAATGGCTATGTGCAAAGAACTTGGCATTACTGTCATGTCAAGAGTTTCTCACACCTTGTACAAACTTCAAAAGTAAGAGTCTCAGCTATGCTAGTACTCATCAACCAGTGCTTTGATGGATGTGGAACAAATTTCCGCATTATCCTTTTCCTGCTTCCAGTAAAATCCAACTTTTACGTAATGGAAGTCCTGCAAATGTCCTCAATAACTTTTGGCAACCTTGAAATCATCACTTAATTCATTTCAGACCAGATCCCTTTTTAATTAAGAATAAAATGATAACGTAAATTGTATGTATTTAATTCTGTTACAGTTTTATGAAAGTTCTTTGGAATTTCTGTTCATGGCAAAGTTACATGATGCTTAATATTATTAATTAATAAAATTATACAACATTATTTTATATCACATTTGACACCTGCATTAATTTTTAATATAACTTGTGTTGGGCAAGGCCGTGGTCTAGGCAACACGGAGTTTTCCTCCGGGGGCATCCCAACAATTACTCCATTCACACACAGAAGAAGGCAATGGCAAACCACTTCTGGATCATCTGCCAAGAACGTATATGAACAGGTCCCAGTCCAAGAAAAGGATGGAAGGATCCTGTTCATAATATGTCACCAACCTCCTGTAAAGGAGACGGCCTAATAAAGAAGAAGAAGGTATGGAAATACTAAAATAGATGAGGGTAATCAAATTTTTAAGGATGGCAAGGTTTGAGCTGGATTCTTTTTGTGCTGCTGCAGTGGTGGAGTTACACGGGTTAATTATGATGTAAGATCTTGAGGACAGGTTATTGATGCTATCTTTTCATATGTTTGCATATTCAAAGGGCAAGGATTTATATGTAAATATAGTTTATGGCTATGTGGAAATTGTGAAATTTTGTGTCAAAAATGTTAGTGCTTTATATTTGAACAAGATTAACTAAAACTTCATTGTTGTGATCTTTATAACAAAAGGAAGGAGAGGTATTTAGGCTTCTGAAACGGATATCCAGATATAAACACTGACAAGTTATTCCTCGTTGTTATAGATGAACCAGGTATGGGTAAGCTGTAGAGGAGAGAGCCCAGCTGATAGAGAGAACATAGGCCCTATCAGCTATATACCTAATCAAGGATTTCCTGGTTACTATTATCCTTACAAAAATGTAGATGGATATCTGAGTCCTCTTATTGCATAAATTATTACTAAAATCATCTGTGAACAAATTTTACTGTAAATCCACATTCTTAGATTGTTTAAGATTTCATAATTTATAACGATGATGGATTATAAAACTGGTATAACTACTTACACATTCATAACACGTGTTCGTTTTCATCATACCTCGGTTAACACATCGTACTGATTATCCTGGCCACTTTTTGATCCCTTCTAGTATCATCGAGAAGAATGGCGGTAAAGCCCCACTGACATATCATCAATTCCAGAAAGTAGTGGCATCCATGGGATCCCCACCACAAGCAGAACCAACAATCAACCAGAAGTTTATTGATAGCGCTTACACTCCTATTGCAGAAGATCACGATGACAAGTACGGTGTTCCAACGCTGGAAGAACTAGGTTAGTTTGTATCCCTCGGTGCTTATAAGCGATGTTTTTATTTGTTTTAACTTGCTTTAAATGGTAAGTGACTTAAGGAACTGATCTTATAAAAGAAATTCTCATTTACATTCACCTAATTTGATTGGTTCATATGGAAATGGGTGACCTGATGCTGCAATATGTCTTTGTATCTGACGTGCATTTCCTTATTTTCTTGTTTAAATCTCGACCATGGTACGGGCTGTTTTGCCATGCGGAGATGTGACATATAATTTCTGGTTACAGGTTTCGATACAGACGGTCTGCTTCCACCAGTATGGCAAGGCGGAGAATCGGAGGCACTGGCAAGGCTGGAAAGGCATCTCGAGAGAAAGGCTTGGGTCGCGTCATTTGGTCGCCCCAAAATGACACCCCAGTCGTTACTTGCTAGCCAAACAGGGCTGAGTCCATACCTAAGGTTTGGTTGCCTTTCTACAAGACTGTTCTACTATCAGCTGACTGACCTGTATAAAAAGGTACATACTGCAGTCGATGTAAATCATTTTACTCGTCTGTCATGACAATTACACGGGACTTGTCCGTAGCTCAACAGCTCGATAAATATAACACTTCGAGGTTCTGTGTTCCAAATCCGTCAGCCTCCACACCATCAGAAGACATCATCTGAACTATTAATTAGGTGTTCGGCACAACAGATGGCCATCATATTTTGGGAAGTAAATTTCATTGATTTCTATATATTGTACTAGCATCCAGAAGCATTATTTGATGATGTATAATTTTTTTTCAACCGTTTGTTATAGATCAAGAAGGCATGCCCTCCTCTCTCCCTCCATGGTCAGCTTCTGTGGCGTGAGTTCTTCTATTGTGCGGCAACAAAGAACTCAAACTTTGACAGAATGAATGGAAATCCTATTTGCGTCCAGAT